TATGTTTTAATAAAATCAAATAGTTACATTAAACAATTATACTAAATTACAACACCAATCTAATTTGTCATTTTGTTATTTACATAAATCAAAAAATTACACCATTTAATATCACAACATAGTTACACCAATTATATAGACTAAATTGAGTTTACCATTACACAAAAGACTTTACCATTATACTAAATTTGATATATATGATTGGTGTAACGATGTTGCGATACTAAATAGTGCAACTGTTTAGTTATATAAACAATTGAATAACAAATTGGGTTGATGTTATAAATTTGTGTAATTGTTTGGTGTATTATAAGACAATTGTAACTTATTGGTGTAACTGATTAGTGTAATTTTATTGTTGTAATGTTGATATAAATAGAGAGAGTGAAAGAGAAAATAGAGAGAGAGAAATGAATAGAAAAAATAGGGGGAGAGAGAAAGAAAATAGGAGAGAGAGATGAAAGAAAAAATCAAAAATTTACATATTTGAAACGAAAATAAATTGTCAATGATAGATATAGAGAAAAAATATGGGAGAAATAGAGAAAGTAATGGGGGAGAGATAGTGAGAGTCTAATGAAATATTTACATATTTGATTAGATATATAATTGTCAATCAATAATGCATAATTTAAGGGAGGACATTTACGTAAAACAATTTTGAGTTCATTTGAATTTTGTACCTAAACACAATATGTTTTATTAAAATTAAAATTAACAGAATAAATAACTTATTCATACACTTTTCTTCAAATAAATCTAAATAATTATACCCATAACCAAAAAAACTATCATATTCAATTCTACAATCCAACTAATGGCACTAATTCACACTAGGCTTTTGATAAGGAATTTGGGTCTATGTCGGGTTGAGAAAGACCAACCAAATAATATCATATTTTATTCATGCGTAATTGTATCCTAAATTTGGGATACCAAATTACATTCTAAATGCATAGAGACACTTAAACGAGTGGATACTATTAAAAAAAGTTAACAAAACTCACTGATTTGAGGATCTATATTGATTTGTGTACAATTTGACATCGTGAATTTGGGATTTGTAGGAGCACTATTTATCCATTTTTTTTACTTGTATTAAGGTCAACAATTCTTATTTTATTGGGTTTGACAGTAAATTGATTGATTTTATGAAAATTATTTTGAGTTAATTACAAAATATCTCCTTTAAGTTTGAATCTTATTATAATCGACTCCATCCCACCGAGCACCATACTCTCCCTCCCCCTCCCCCTCCCCCGCCAAAAAAAAAATGATTCCCCTCCTCCATCTATTCGAAATGCCAAATCCATAGCTGTGGCAATAGAGGAAGAACAATATAAGGAAAGACATGATAGACACACACAGAAACTTAGCACCGTTAGCATCATTGAAGCTTACAACCGTCCCTGATGAGTCTTTACTTTAGAATTTTTATTTTTCAATTTGCTAGTTTTTTTTTCTTCTGTTCAATTTTTCCCATTCAACCACACTCATATGATGGTGTATTTACAGCCGTGATGTTGGTTGGATTTGATGTTGATGAGACACTTGTAGTGGGCTTTTCCGCTTTTCCTTTTCGTTGGTTGGTAGTTGGTGGGTGGTGCTCAATTTGAAAGCAGATGTTAAGGGTGGTGGTAGTTGCTTTGTGAAGGTTGTGTTGGGCGTGGTGGCATTTACTTGGTCACCCAGTATGGTAAAAGAATGAGAAAGAAGATAGAAGGTTAGGGGGTTAAATAAAGTCTTATGGGTATAAAAGTTATATTACAAACTCTTTTTCAACTCATCATATAATTTAGTTTATCTAAACTTCAGGGGAGTAAATTGTTAAAATTGAAATGAAAAAGAGTCGATTAGAATAAAATTTATATTTAAAAGGTATAATTTATAATTAATCTAATTATTATTTAATAAATAAATCAATTNGACGGTCAAGTTCAATTCAGAAAAGTCTCTGTACCACCGCATCGATATACGCCTCTCAAGAAAGCATGGATGAAAATTTACATTCCCTCTCCCCTTATTTCCTTATTCTCTTCATTTTTCTCTCACCTTATATCAACGTTACACAACACAATTACACTAATTAGTTATAATTACCTTATAATACACTAAATAGTTACTCATATGTTTTAATAAAATCAAATAGTTACATTAAACAATTATACTAAATTACAACACCAATCTAATTTGTCATTTTGTTATTTACATAAATCAAAAAATTACACCATTTAATATCACAACATAGTTACACCAATTATATAGACTAAATTGAGTTTACCATTACACAAAAGACTTTACCATTATACTAAATTTGATATATATGATTGGTGTAACGATGTTGCGATACTAAATAGTGCAACTGTTTAGTTATATAAACAATTGAATAACAAATTGGGTTGATGTTATAAATTTGTGTAATTGTTTGGTGTATTATAAGACAATTGTAACTTATTGGTGTAACTGATTAGTGTAATTTTATTGTTGTAATGTTGATATAAATAGAGAGAGTGAAAGAGAAAATAGAGAGAGAGAAATGAATAGAAAAAATAGGGGGAGAGAGAAAGAAAATAGGAGAGAGAGATGAAAGAAAAAATCAAAAATTTACATATTTGAAACGAAAATAAATTGTCAATGATAGATATAGAGAAAAAATATGGGAGAAATAGAGAAAGTAATGGGGGAGAGATAGTGAGAGTCTAATGAAATATTTACATATTTGATTAGATATATAATTGTCAATCAATAATGCATAATTTAAGGGAGGACATTTACGTAAAACAATTTTGAGTTCATTTGAATTTTGTACCTAAACACAATATGTTTTATTAAAATTAAAATTAACAGAATAAATAACTTATTCATACACTTTTCTTCAAATAAATCTAAATAATTATACCCATAACCAAAAAAACTATCATATTCAATTCTACAATCCAACTAATGGCACTAATTCACACTAGGCTTTTGATAAGGAATTTGGGTCTATGTCGGGTTGAGAAAGACCAACCAAATAATATCATATTTTATTCATGCGTAATTGTATCCTAAATTTGGGATACCAAATTACATTCTAAATGCATAGAGACACTTAAACGAGTGGATACTATTAAAAAAAGTTAACAAAACTCACTGATTTGAGGATCTATATTGATTTGTGTACAATTTGACATCGTGAATTTGGGATTTGTAGGAGCACTATTTATCCATTTTTTTTACTTGTATTAAGGTCAACAATTCTTATTTTATTGGGTTTGACAGTAAATTGATTGATTTTATGAAAATTATTTTGAGTTAATTACAAAATATCTCCTTTAAGTTTGAATCTTATTATAATCGACTCCATCCCACCGAGCACCATACTCTCCCTCCCCCTCCCCCTCCCCCGCCAAAAAAAAAATGATTCCCCTCCTCCATCTATTCGAAATGCCAAATCCATAGCTGTGGCAATAGAGGAAGAACAATATAAGGAAAGACATGATAGACACACACAGAAACTTAGCACCGTTAGCATCATTGAAGCTTACAACCGTCCCTGATGAGTCTTTACTTTAGAATTTTTATTTTTCAATTTGCTAGTTTTTTTTTCTTCTGTTCAATTTTTCCCATTCAACCACACTCATATGATGGTGTATTTACAGCCGTGATGTTGGTTGGATTTGATGTTGATGAGACACTTGTAGTGGGCTTTTCCGCTTTTCCTTTTCGTTGGTTGGTAGTTGGTGGGTGGTGCTCAATTTGAAAGCAGATGTTAAGGGTGGTGGTAGTTGCTTTGTGAAGGTTGTGTTGGGCGTGGTGGCATTTACTTGGTCACCCAGTATGGTAAAAGAATGAGAAAGAAGATAGAAGGTTAGGGGGTTAAATAAAGTCTTATGGGTATAAAAGTTATATTACAAACTCTTTTTCAACTCATCATATAATTTAGTTTATCTAAACTTCAGGGGAGTAAATTGTTAAAATTGAAATGAAAAAGAGTCGATTAGAATAAAATTTATATTTAAAAGGTATAATTTATAATTAATCTAATTATTATTTAATAAATAAATCAATTCATATATATAATAAAGTATTTTACAATTCAAATTTCAAAAATAAACAAAATAATTTTTGTTATTCGCGGTTAAAATCGCTTTAAATTTTACTTTAAAATTAATCTAACGATTAATATTAAAATTTCAAATTTAATAAAAAAAAATAAGCTCTTAAAGATGTGTTTGGATTTAAAAAAAATATTAATTTGAAATGCTTCACCACTACCTCTACCATCGCCACCACCATCGCCGCCACCACCACCACTACTGTCGTCGTCACCGTCGTCGCCGCCGCCACCATCACCATCATCGCCACCGCGGTCATTACCATTGCCACCATAACTAATACCGTTTCCTACCATCACCACTACCGCCCACTATCTTTCACACCCATTACAAATCGATGTTTAAATTTCTTTATTTATTCTCTATGTTTGTAATTTAATTTTAGATATGAATATAAATATATTTATTATATATATATATATATATGTTCTAAAAAGGGCATGAGACGGCCACAATGATACACAACCATAAAATGACTCACATATGTAAAGAGAATTCATGGTCCACCAAAGTCCCAAACCTCAAGAAACCAGAAACGAATGGAGCCACAATTTTGATTGATAACAAGACGTATAGAGGGGCATTTAAGACTTAAAGACCATTAGAAAAGAAAGTCTCCCACGTCGAGGTAGAGGTAGAGGTAGTCCATCGTATGTATGGAATTATTCGTGCATCGAATCCCTTCCACTTCCGTACCCTTTGTTCTTGAAAAGTAAAAAGTCTTGTGGGGACAGAAAAAGGCAGACGAAAGTCTACCTCTGTGCCTTAACAAGAGAGTAAAGTGAATGACTAGAATTGATGATTACAGCGAATGACCGATCCCTCTACTAAGATCAAAACCCAACCACTTAGTTGATTTTCACAGGCTCTGCGAAGAAGACGAAGAACATCAGGAAGGGTTCAATGGGTCAGGTTCTCTCCAGCGTAATCAGATGTATATGTGGTGAAGTAGACGATGAAAATCCAAGTGAGTCATCCCATCAAGTTTTTCTGGCAAGTCAGGTATCAAGCAATAATAGTTGTCCATTGCTTCAACCCCCACTGTTTTCTCCACCCTCCATTGACTCTTGCAGTGATTCATGTCCGGTTCTTACATTGAACCCTCCATTTATTGTAAGCATACATGGGGATTCAATCACAAACGATGCTTTCTATGATCAAAAGCAGCTAGATTTTCGACGGTGCTTGGACGACTCACACAGTGACCCAAGCACAAATGGTGTATTTTTCCAAGTTCTTAGTTCAGCACCAAGCTCTGTGACACTGAGCGATTCACCAGGATTAATTGAGTCACTGAGCGACTCAAGCGAACTAGGTGAGTTGATGATACCAAGTGTAGACTCACTAAGTTCTTCTGGTTCTAATGACCCATTTGATTCAACTATAGTTGTCGATATGAAAATTCAAAATGTGGAAGAAAAAAGAGAAATTACACAAGCTCTGTCACAGTCACAGCTAAACTCGAAAGAACTAGGAGGAGAAGATGAAGAAACAAAAGAAGAGAAGGTGAGCGATGGTGTAGTGGAAAGAGAGAGATGGATAAAGCATTATAGTAGTTACCACAAAATACTATTAGTGGGTGAAGGGGATTTCTCATTCTCAACTAGTTTGGCCTTGGCTTTTGGTTCTGCAACTAATATGACCGCTACTTCTCTTGATTCTGAAGGTGAAATCTCTTTATTAGTCTCCACTGCTAACAATATATTGATGGGGTAACTATCTACATAGGACAAATATACATCTAGGCACTCTGTCTATTACTATTCTTTCTCGCGATTAGAATATATTTGCGAAGAATCGAAACTGTTAGGCGATTATTGAGATGGATCATGTAGGATCAGAGAGAACTCTTTTCAATAATGTTTCTTATATGACATGATTTTCTAGGCAAATGCATGCTGTGAACCCTGCCTAGCCTATATAATTGCTTGTTTGTGCCCTGCAAACTGATCATGTATGGTTTAAATTCTGATTTTATGGTGGGATATGAGTTGGGATGTTCAGGGTTTTTGAGCAGAAATTATTGGAATGCTATGGCAAACATCCAGAACTTAAGGAGTAGAGGGTGCAAGGTCATGCATGGAGTAGATGCTACTGAAATGGCAAACAATTTCTTGTTCAAGGGAGAGATATTTGATCGCATAATCTTCAATTTCCCTCTTGCTGGCTTCTTCCCGAATGAATCACGCGAAGCCCAGCAAAGGTCTGTCAATATCTTGCTTCCTTCCTTCAACTCAATATATACTTCGAGTGTTTGTGTGTGTGTGTGTTGAAACTTGAAAGTATAATTCTAATATCATGCTTTCTTGCAGCCGACACAAAAGACTTGTAGGCCTGTTTCTGGAAAATGCTAGTGAGATGATCAGCGAAAATGGTGAAATTCACATTGCCCACAAGTCAAATGGCTTCTTCCGTGAATGGAACTTACCACTTTTGGCATCTAAATGCGGCCTTCTACTTATAGAAGAGCAGCATTTCGATTTCGCCGATTATCCAGGATACAGAACCAAATACGGGTTTGGTGGC